CCACTTTACCAAGCATGATATACTTCTCCAGAGAATGGTCCCTTCTGACAACATGACCAAAATAGGTGAGATGAAGTCTGGCCATTCTTGCTTCCAAGAAGCATTCCAGCTGTACTTCTTCTAGGACAGATTTATTAGTTCTTTTGGCAGTCCGTAGTACTTTCAGTATTCTTCACCAACACCACAAGTCAAAAGTATCAACTCTTCCTTGTTCTTCCCTATTCATTGTCCAGCTTTCACATACATATGAGGCAATTGAAAACACCATGGCTTGGGTTAGGCACACTCACTACTGTAGTCTTCAGAGATACATCTTTGTTCTTCATCAGTTTAAAGAGGTCTTTTGCAGCAGATTTGCCCAATGCAATATGACGTCTGATTTCTTGACTGCTGCTTCCATTAGTGTTGATTGTGGAACCAAGCACTATGAAATCTTTGACAACTTCAATCTTTTCTCCATTTATCATGATGCTGCTTAGGGCCCAGTTGTGAGAATTTTCATTTTCTTGATGTTGAGATGTACTCCATACTGCAGACTGTAGTCTTTAATCTTCATCAGTAAGTGCTTCAAATTATCTTCACTCTCAGCAAGTAAGGTTGTGTTGTCTGCATATCTCAGGTTGTTAATCAGACTTCCTTCAATCCTGATGCCATATTCTTCTTCATATAGTCCCATTTCTCAAAGAATCTTGACTAGACAGTCCTCAAGATCACCTGGGACTAGTCATTGGTCCTGGAACTAGTCATTGTCAGGTGAGACATTGCTGGGTATTGTAGTCAGGTGGTGAAAGTTTTTCTGAGGTAGCTTGTGAACAACTGAAAACAATACCCATGTGAAAGACAGAGCTCAGTTAGCCCTGGAAAGGGGTTAAGGACAGGAGACTTTGCCCTCACTAGTAGCAACACTTGGAAACCAATTAATTGAATGTTGGAGACTGAGCTCTATTGCTCACGTTGACACATGTATGTCCCACAGTGGGTCCTTCTGTGGGCTGCAGTGTCCACAGACACTGTGGGAGTGGGTTTGACATGACGCTTTCCATGATTGAGTCTGATTCAATTCTGTGCTCCTGAGTAGGAGCAGAGGGGTTGCTTTGTCAGAGACTGTACCAGAAACTCTCACGCCCCACTATGAGCCTCTTCTTACTTCCTCATCCCACCATGAAATGTATCCCTTTCCTTTTCCTGCCATCCCCACAAAGGAATGAATCGACACTGGGTTTGGGAAAACCAGCTTTAAATTATCTTCCAAAGTTGCAGAGAGCTCAGTAGGGAGCCCAGAGGAGCTGAAGGATGTGCCCCTCAGGCTGGGAACTCACAGACTACTAGGAAGGAAGAGGAGTAGGAGATGTCATTCCAAAGCCCGTCCTTCAGCAGGATCACACAATCCTCCCCCAAGCCATAATTATTAGGCTCATCCTTCTTCCAGTTGCTGTAGGCCAGCCTCCCTCCTGTCACATACATGAACTGCCCTTCAGCCACCTCATCTGTGATGCCCAGGAAGGCATTGTCTTTGGCTACTTCCTGGATGGCATTGTTCTCCTCAGCATTCTTGGGGGTGGCCACAGTGGCCTGGAGCTGGGTGCACAGAGCTTTCACTTTGGAAAAGGGCATCTTTTCACCATTGGTCACATAGAGCTTCTTCCCAGACTTTTTCCCCAAGGAGAAAGTTTGCACTGAAATCACAAAGAGTGTGTGAAGTTCACTAGGGTTGGAGCATAGCCCAGGAGAGTAGGAAAAAAAAATCTTTTTCTGGACAGGGCTCCTCCGGAGAAATTGTCCAGCACCAACGCTAAGGTCAGCTTGAGTCAGACAGACAGAATTCTGAAAAATAGTTTCCATGTCCAACGAGCTCAGGTCAGAGCTAGTATGGAAATAGGCTTCAGTTGTTGTGCCAGGGAAGGTTATTAGCCCATGGCAAACAGACTGGACTGGGATATTCTACCCTGGAAACATTCATCTGTTAAAACACATCCCTGCACAGGTGGACACAGGGAGATACGTTGGAGGCTCACCACCAGACCTAGGCACCAGATTTGAAAGAGACTTGGATGGTGATCTAAGAACCATGGATGCTGAGGAAGGAGCCAAAATATAGACCTCCACCCAGTACTTCCTCTGCTATTTTCTGGCTGTGTGACTTTAAATGAGTTACCTACACCTTGTGGGCCTCTTTCTTCACCTAAAATAAAATGGTAAAACATCCACAGATAGGGTTGGTGAGAGCATTGAACAAAACCATATTATGAGGAAATGTTGACCTAGCATAAGCTGTGGTATAAAATAAGTGTTCAGAAATGTTACTTCTCTTCTACCCTTCCAAAAACCTGGAGAACTCTGAAGAAAGAGGTGAGAACAAAGAACACATCAGGGGCAGAAAAAAAGCTTACACTTTTTGATGTGGTCCAGTTCTGATTTCAGGATCCTTATTTCTCTCTCTAAGTCATCCAGTCTGTTCTCAGAAACTACAAAGCAACAGGGAGAAGAGTATTTATTGAGAAGGAGAAACTAAAATTGAATAGCAAAGTATTTTGCTATTTATTTACTTATGCTTACCAAAAAATATGATTATTTGAAAAAGAGAAACAGAAAATACAAAGCAAAAGCAAAGAAAATAATTATATTCTTGTATTCCCAGGTACTCTTAATAACTTGAAAACTATGGCTCAAGGTCCTTTGCTTCACATACTGCTTAAATATTACAATATTATAATAATTTATTAGGAAAAACCTAGCTCATTATTCTTCTTTTTGAATTTTTCTTTCTTTTTTTTTTTTTTTGTAATTGTCCTTTGTGTCTCATTACAGCTAAACTTTTAAAATATTTATATTACAGGCATACCTCAGAGATATTGCATGTTTGGTTACAGACCACTGTAGTAAAGTGAATATCAAAATAAAGCTATTCACACATTTTTTTTTAACTTCCCAAAGCATATAAAAGTTATGTTTACACTGTACTGTAGCCTATCAAGTGTGCCATAGCATTGTGAAAAATGCTATGAAATATTGTGAGAATTACAAAACTATGACACAGAGATACAAAGTAAGCACATGTTATTGGAAAAATGGTGCCTATAGACTTGCTTGATGCAGAATTACTACAAACTTTCAATACCTTCAATATGTAAAAAATCCACTATCTGTAAAGCCCAATAAAGTAAAGCATAATAAAATGAAGAATGCTGTATCATGAATTATGATGGCCCAGTGGATATATATTAATAAGGATGTTGCCATCAAGGGGATTTTTACTGAATTTGCTCTGTTTTACTCTGAAATATGTTGTTACTATGGTATTTCTCTATTGTTCAGGGTCCTATGGGGCAAACCATTTTCATACAACTCTCTGACACTAGGCATAAACCTAGGACCCAAGAGGGTCTACTTTCCCCTGTTCCAGCCTGGAGCCACACTGGACTGTTTCAGATGAAGGACAGCTTGGCTGTCTTTGCCAGAAGCCTGGTGAAGGAATGGCCCTGAGGTTTGGAAATCTGTAATCAGGCACCAGTGGGAATCTAATGAGACTTCAAGTAGTGCTTAGAGACCAAAAACATGGGTCCAGGAGCAGAGTCCTTTATCTGCTAGTGAGACAACAGGACAAGGGTCTACTCCCACCAACACCCAAGTTTCTAGGGCCCTAAGTCTCCTCAGGCAAGACTTCTGGAGTATGTTTCTTACCCAAACTGTAACCACGATCTCCTTTTTGGCCCTTTGGTCCTGGAACCCCAGGGCTCCCTGTACTTCCCAGAGGCCCCAATTTCCCATGAGGGCCCTGCAAGCCTCTGAGCCCTTGGCCTGGTGGAAGATCAAGGAAACATGACCCACACATTCATTCTCTTTCTCCAAGCACTCTATATTCAATTTGCATTGACCTCAGGAATGGTCAGCCCTTAGCCCATGTTCTGGATAATTGTTTCTAGTAAACTCCTCCTGCATCCAGGGGAAGGATGCCTTGAAGGCCAGCTCTCTGAGCAGGCAAGACAGCCCCTCTTCATGGATGACCCACACTGTCAGTTCCTTTCTATAAATGTAAGTCCTGGAGAGCCAGAGAAGCATCATTGTTCTATAACCATCACATCCACAATAAAGGGGAGCATCCATGTCTCCATTCTCAAACCCTGGTAGGGAGGATAAAAATTTAGGGGGACAGAACAGCCCACTCTGTACCTGGTTCTCCCTTCTCTCCCTTTGGCCCATCTCTCCCATCTCTGCCTGGGGTGCCGTTGGTGACCAGAATGGCACAGGTAACCACTGAGCAGGTCTTCTGGGCATCCTCACAGGCTTTTGTTTCTGAGAAGGATGCTGTCATCACACAAAGTAGAAGGAGAGGGAGGCATGGAAACAGGAACATGGTCCTTACCTCAGAGTGGAGAAAGCCAAGGAGAATAATACTATCTCATCTTGTTCAGTCAACAAACATTTGTTATCATCTATGTTGTGCTGGATAGGAGCTTGGTGCTGCTGTGGGTAAGGCATTTATTTGGCTGCTAATCAAAGGATCAGTGGTTCAAACCCATCAGCTGCTCTGTGGGAGAAAGATGAGGCAGTCTGCTTCCATCAAGATTTACAGCCTTCAAACCCTATGAGGTAGCTATGAGTCAGAATCGAGTTGATGGCAGTGGGTTGGGTTTGGTTTTTTGGTGGTGTGATGTACTCTGTGCTCAGACAGGAAACACAGAGGGGATAGCACAATCCTTGGCTCTGAGTTATCCTCAGGTTATTTGGGAGACAGGCAAGTAAACACATTAGAATTAGAACAAAACACACTAGACATAAACCCAGAACCTAGGAAGGTATACTTTCCCCTGTTCCAGCCTGCAGCCACTGGACTGTTTCAGATGAAGGACAGCTGGGCCATCTCTGCCAGAGGCCTGGTGAAGGAATGACCCTGAGGTTTGGAAATCTGTAATCAGGTACCAGTGGGAATCTGAAGCAAGAGAAGTAGGGGGTCAATTCTTCCTCAGGTTTCCAGTTGCACCTGTTATGACAGGCCTTGTGGATTAAATACCCTATATCCCACAGGATCTGGAAATTATCAATGAGCCTGTCCATGGTGGCCTGACATAGAGGGCAGACTCCACTGCCTGTGTGAGCTTTGGTTCCTCCCTTTCTTAATCTCCAAGGGAGCCCCAGTCTTCCTCGTATTCCCTTCCCTATGATCCCTAGGGGTCGCCTCATACTAGCAGGTCAGCAGAGGTCCCACAAGACCTGCTACCTTGATTGGCCCTGGTTTACAATACCCACTCACCCATTTCAAACAACAATATTTCTTTTCCAAGTGGGATCCAATCAGTCCCCCAAAAACCCAAAACCAAACTCACTGCCCTCAAGTCAACTCTGACTCATAGCAACCCCCATCGGGTTTCCAAGGCAGTAAACCATTATGGAAGTAGATTGCCTCATCTTCCTCCCTTGGAGTAGTTTGTGGTTTGAACCACTGACTACTGTTTAGGAAGAAAATGCTTTACAAAGTATACCATCAAGACTCCTCTAACCCCCAAAATCTGACTATTGCCCCAACAGACTGTCAATCACCTTTTATCAGTTCTCTATTTTGTGGCAGGCACTTGCTGTGGCCCAGAATCCAGGGTTCCCTGAGGCAGGGTTCTGACCCTCAGAAGGGACCCCTTCCTTTTGTCATTAAACCTGGCCAGATGAGACTTAGGTTTGCCTCCCTCCCTTGGTGTGAGATTTTCCATCAAAAGAGGCCATTTCTGTCATGTAGATAGACCCTGGCTCCCAAATTTCTGTTTGTCCTGATTGAACAGGGTGCCTTTTCACTCTCCTTCCCCAGTTAGAGTTCACTGTGTGCCGCACAGGTACCTTCAAGCTCTGTGTCCCTATCCATCCAGCCTTTTCTTGACAGCCTCCTCCTCCAGGGACCTCCATGGGCCCCTCTCTCTGCTCCTTTCTGACCTATAATCCCAAAATCTGTTCCTTGGCTGCATAAGTACTTCATCTACTGTCATCTCCCCTGGTCTGCCAGTTCCCTTTACCCTTACCTACCTTCAGGTCTCAGGGAGAGGTAGGCTCTTGGAAGGGAACTTCTTGGAACACATTCTCCCCCACTCTTCTCTCTTTTTCTTCCTACCTTCCTGTTCTCTTTTTCTTTCCCTGGTGTTAGAGGCCAAGGCCAGGGTCTGTACATGTTGCTGGCACACACATCCCTTCTATTTTTCCTCTGGCTGAAAAGATAGCTTTTCAGTTTTTGATGGTCAAGTGGATCCAGATAGGACATCAATGCCCTGGATCAGAGATCAGCAGAGGTCTGGGAAACCCTGACTCCCCACAAAAGCCCCTAGGAAGACCTCACCAGGTGAAGTAGCCAGACTCTTGGTCCAGGCTCCCAGCTCTGTCCTCCAGATATGATTTACTGGGGCTCCCGCAGGGCACAGAGGTGGTAGCAGGAATGTGGTCTTCCAGCCCAGGCAGCAAGCAGTATGATAGTGATGTCAGGCCTGATAATAAGGGACAGTCCTGGCCTTGCCTTTAACCCCAGATTAATAAACAACTGTTCTAGAACTGCTGTAGACAAGACAGTCCCCCAGGGCTTCTGGTGGGTCTTCCAGCACAGCACTGCTGCTCTCCACTTTAATGCCCTAAACTCCTCCTATACTTTCTCCTCCCAGGTCTCCCTCTACAGCTCCACAACTCTGGCTCTCCAGAATAATAAGGAAAAAAGATGAGTTAAAGACCTAAACCCTGAATCATCTCATTCCTCCCCTTCTTGTCTATGTCCTTAAAAGATGAGAATGTCTTATCTAAGACCTCCTTTGAGCATGCACAGACCTGGGCACAAAGGGAGAAATATTAGTAGACACATTAACCACAAGCTGAATGTGGGTTTGTTTACACCACTGCTTCTTCTGCCTGGAATACACTTCCCTCTGTCTTTTCAGACTTGTCTTTTGTCATTTAGATTTCACCTTAAATATCATCTCCAGAAAAGAGCTTTTCTAATCATTCAATTTTAAGTCTCTGCTCTGTCATGAAATGGTAATTATCTTAATTATCCTGTGACTATACTTAATTCTCTGCCTCCAATTCATGTCTGTGTGAAAATGTCTAATTTATTGGATTGTTTATTTACTGATCATCTCACCTAATTAAAATGTGAACTTCATCAGAGTAAAGATATTGTTCCCTGGATGTTGTACCCTGACCTAGGAAAATGCCTAGAAACAGAGTTGAAACTACATAAACATTTATGGAGCAAATTAATCCTCCAGCACCATGTCCTCAATCACTCCTTTGACTTCTCACAAGCTCAAGGTCATATCTGTGCCTACTTCCCCAGTGTTTTGACTTTTCTAGGGCAGAGCTGTGTTTAATTCGCCATCTTGTCTACAGGGTGGACCTAGAAAGGGTATGTCTATGAGTGGGGTCAATATTAGACTTGCTCATGGCTTCTCCAGGCCTGGGTCTCCAGGAGTGTCCAGTTCTTATCACAAGAGATTGATCAAGTAGCCTTTTTCAAATATTTACTGTGACCTTTTGTTCCTGCCATCCCCTAACTGCACTCTCACTCTTTGAAACACTTACTCTCACCAAACACCACAAGAAGTTTGCTTTTTTCCTTGTGTTGGGCAGATACTGGCCACTTCCCTTTGACTCTGCCTTGTGATTGGTGTTTTAGCTTCTCCAAAGGTCATTAGCCTTGTGTACTTAATTCTCCATGGTCCCCTGAAAAGCTCTCCCTGATTCCTGTTACAGGGAACTTTCCAGGCACTCAGAGAGGCTCCATAGTAAACAAAATACCTCTGAGGACCATGTTTCTTATGCCATGGACCTAAATCTGAAGAGTTCAAAGGCTCAGAGGACAGGACATTCAACCTATAGAGCAAATGGTCAGATCCCTCAGAAAAGTGGGAACTTGGAAAGGAAGTAATTTCATAAAACCAGGAATCTATGGTTTCATGATAGAATTCTTGTTTACATGCAGGAGTCTTGGGTTTGACTCCCTGCTAATGCACCTCATGTGCAGCCACCATATGTCTGTCAGTGGAGTTTTGTGTGTTATTGAAGCAGAGATTCCAGACTAAGATGGACTAGGATGAAAGTCCTGATGATCTACTTCCAGAAATCAGCCAGTGAAAACTCTATGGATCAGTATGACTCAGTCCACAACTGATCATGGTGATCATGAAATGGACAGTGTTTCTATTTTTTTTTTTTTTTTTGTGGATGAGGTTGCCATGTGTCAAGGCCAACTTGAAGGTAGCTAAGAACAACATATGCTTCAGACTTAGATAAAGATTGAGGAGAGGAGGAGAGCACCTGTGAGCAAAGAAACAATAAGAAAACCTTGGCTCTGGTGTGAAATGATTATTCCTTGAGAATGTCTAACCAAAAGTCCTCTCATGTTGTTGTTGTTGTTGTTATGTGCTGTTGAGTCAAACCCGACTCATAGCGACCCCTCCTTAGGTTTCCAAGGCAGTATCACTACGGAAGTAGGATTGCCCAACCTTCCTTCCGAGGAGTGGCTGGTGGGTTTGAACCGCCAGCCGTCTGGTTAGCAGCCAAGTGTCTTAGCCACTATGCTACCAGAGCTCCCAAAGTCCTCTCATAGATCTAAGATTTCCTATTTGATCTGAGAGAGGCCAAGATGAAAATTTGTAGGGCACTCTGGGAATGTAAAGCACCTTACCCTTCTTCACCCAAGTGCCTCAGGATTTTCTCAGTTGGAGATCAGGCAAATTTGAGCTCACCTTATAAAATTATCAAACACAGTAAGACCAGCAGAGTCTTGATTGAAACAACAAGATTCAAAAGAGTCCTCTAGGAATGCTGACTGTCCACAACAGGTACATTGATATAGAACAAACCAAAAGAGAGTATAATTAAGGAATAAAAAAAAAAAACACAAATGATAAAATTAGTGAACTGGAATAAGGAAACAACGATAGAACTAATAATAAAATTAAAAACTGGTTCTTTGCAAACAGCATAAATTACGCAAAATTGACTATAGTAGTTTGGATTATTGTTCCCAATTTTTTTACTTTCTCCTTGTCATAGAATTATATAATTAAAGCCTTTGCTATATGACATTGCAGAACCTCTTACTGGAGAATGTAGAGTTTTTGCTTTTACCCCTTTGATATTTGGCTTGGTCAAGTGAATGTGCACAGAGATGAAAGGAATTAAAAATGTTGTTGCTGTAAACACTGAGGCAGAGATTTATTATGGCATTGCCTGACTGATACAATTATTAATAATTGATAGAAAAGTTTTAAGAAATAAACAATATCAGGAATCAAAAAGGAATATTGGGTTAAAAGAGAAAACCAAACCAAACTCACTGCCATCGAGTCAATTCTGACTCATAGCAACTCTCATAAGGTTTCCAAG